CACTTTTTAAAGAGCATCACAATTTGGTAAAACCTTAGCTAGTAAAAAAAAACAATGATGGAATAAATGCTCATGTAAATGCTCATGTCTAGAACAAAAGGGAATGCAATTTTGACAGTATCAGAAGGTTAATTAAGAAGTCTGTTAGCGATGATAAACCTGGCACATTTTCAGTTTAGACTGACATGACTCAAGACCTAGGCATAGCTAACGTTTGCTCTATAATACTGTGATAAGTCACAGAATCTGAGAGGAGCCGGTATCTGTTGTAAACGGAGGGTCAAGAGCTAGAAAGACGTTTAGTGGATTTGCTTTCCGGTTAAAGAAGCCTCTGTCCCAGACTGGCTGCACTGTTGTTACTTTTGTGATTTAGATCCACTAATATTGATAGAACTGGAATTGGTTCCAAAACTGTACAAACTTTCAGGATGCATTTGAAGGGTAGTCTGTAAGTTGGCTACCGGCTGGGGGGAGAGGGGATTTGAGAATTTTGGAGCTGGAACAGTGGGTCAGGGTCCTTTATTTTGGCCCATCACCTAATATAGAGATTCCCTCCCCATCGTGGTGGGTTGTCACTCATTCTTTTCTTGAAGACCCAGAGTGAATGGGACGTTATGGCTTCCTAGGGTAACCCATTCCACTTGGGGACAACCCTACTCCTTTTGTGCCCTACCTGGTTGGAAAAACAGGGAAGTTTTCTAAAAATATATGTTCAAGGGGCGCCTGGGTGGCTCAGTTGGTTAAGCGACTGGCTTTGGCTCAGATCCTGATCCCTGGGTCCTGGGATGGAGCCCCCCCCCCGCCCCCGCTGGTCTCTCTTCTGGGTGGGGAGCCTGCTTCTCCCTCTCCCTCAGCCTGCCGCTCCGCCTGCTTGTGTTGTCTCTCTTTCTCTGTCAAATAAATAAATCAAATCTTTAAAAAAAAAAATGTTCAAAAAAGGAAATATATATACATGCATATACACTGTAGTAAACATCAAACATCTATACGTCTATGTACCCCTCTAGAGAGGCCTGGGGATTTGATACCTGATAAAAGTCGAGCACCCAGAGCGGCCATCAAGTGTGTTGGAAATGATGCTTTGTGCTTAGCTGTTTCCGCACATTTGTAGACAGCGGTATTACTTGTCGATGAGGAGACTATAATGTGGCTGCGTTACATACCCAGTGATTAATTTCAGAAACAAACAGCATGTCAGTAATAAAGGAGTCTTTGAGATGTTCTTGAGGAAACCTAAAACTTGATTTAAGGACCTTAAATTCCAGGGACATCCCACAGGGCTTATAGAGCTCTGCATCAAAAGTTGGTACCCATTGTATATAGAAATGTAAAGTGACCAATGTAAAACATTAAATCAAAACCATTCCCAAATTTTTGCAGATTTTTAATGAGACCTGAAAAATAAGATTCATTATTTTTTATTCAGCCCAAGGAAACATTGCAACTTAATAGTGCATAAGGCATTTCCAAGGCCCCAAGTGGAAATGCTGGGTCTCACGAGACCTTTATGAACCAGAAGGTTAAAACACCTTTTGCCAGAAGAGTACAGGCATTTGAAAAGACTGATCCAGAAGAGGGCAACACATCCCATTTGTGAGTCCAGACAAGGAAACAGAGTCCAGTTCTTACACCATCCATGTCATGGGCCACAGCTGCTGTCTCAAACATTTCAGCTTTTATGGAAGTGGTGAGGACACCATCTGTCTGACATAAACTGGTTTGGATGTTGTCTTGTGCAAAGAGCATTCCCTGTTTGATGGAAGGCTTGGCTCTATTCTCTGTCCTGTCAACGAGGAAGGGTGGCACCTGGGATTCCACATGAAGAGATTCTTAGGTATGTCCCAAGCTTGCTCTGGTTTTGACTGTTCTGAAGGAGGTGAGTCCCAGACAGAAGGGACGACAGTCTTGTAGCCATTCTGGCTCTCTGCCAGAGGAACATGCTTCCAGCTTCCATGCCTCCCCTCGCCCTAAGACAGCAGTATTAAACTGGAACTGTGCCTACACATCACCTGGAGGAGTTGTTAAACACAGATTGCCGCACGGCCCCCACCCCCAGGTTTTTATTCAGCAAGTCTGAGGTGGGCCTGAGAGTTTGCATTTCCAACAGGCTCCCTGGGCCTCGGTCTGCAGTTTGAGAACCACTGCCCTAAGAGTACCACCAAGGAAACAAAAGAGAGCATAGCCAGACTGCCCACTTTCCAGCCCACCACTCCCTGGGGAAGAGAAAAGGCCCTCAGCCGGGGGTGGCTCAGGCAGGTAGAGCTGCTCGTTGAGTGTGATGCTAAGAAGCATTCATTGTGAGACTTTGCCTAAAACATGTTGAAATAATTGAAAGCATCACAGCAAAAAGTTAAACCCTAGGGAGGCTATTAACAATTTAGCATTTCCAGTTCCTGTGAGAATGTCGACTACTTACCAAGGGGAATGGGTTCAGTGGGAGAGGCTGCAGAATCAGCTGGGGTTCCCCATTGCCTTTGCTTCGATGCTCTTCCTGGACGAAGAGAAATGCAAGGATGGGTCTCTTGGAAAGACAGTGTCAGTAGCTTGTTAAGCTGACAGGAACAGTTTGTCTCTCTTCAGCTGGCTAATTCTGTAGGGGAAGCAGAGGTAAAGGGTGAAAGCAGTGAGGTCTGGGTTGGGGAGAGGGTGCAGCTAAGAGGCTCAGGAAGCAGATCAGGTGTTGTTTTCCAATTTTGAAGCCAAGTCCGATTATTTGGATCCTTCGAAAGTCCCACTCAACACCTCTGGGTTGGACTCTCTCCCAAGAGGTTGTCACGAGAAGTTGTTTCTCTTAATGGGTCAGGAGAAAGAGAACCCTCCTCACTGGCACTTCTTGGGCAGGAACCAGGGGAAGAGATAGATGGATATCCCAGAAAAGAGCACTGGATGGGAAGTCAGGAGACTAATTCCAATCTTCACTTTAACCGTCAGCATAGCTGTGGAGCAGCCACTTGATTTCTCAAGGCCTCAGTTTCCCCATCTGTAAAATGAAGGCATAGACTTGAGGATCTCGAAGGTTTTTTACAATTCAAAAGCCAAAAGCAGGGTCGTGGTGCCAGATACCCAGGTACTGGCCCTCGCTTTGTCACATGGCCTGGCCCTGTGGAAAAGCGGACCAGGCTGCTGCCCCCGGAAGCTCCGCTTGCTCGGGGCCGACAAGTTTGTAGACACGTTCACCCACTGAAGGTAAATGCGAGCGGTCAGGCCTGGATTAGGCTAAGAGCCCTCCCATTTCTTGCTGGAGGCCGTATCAAGGCACCTCATGGCTCTTCTCAGAGGAAGTGGCAGGGAGTTTGAAATCAGACCCTCCCTGTGCAGGGGTCCAGGTCCCTTGCTGCATTTCTACTAGGGTCACAGAGCTACCTCAGCTGTGTGGGTCTCCTAAGAAAAAGATTTCCGTCTTGGTCACAAGACAAACTTAGGAAAGGGCTAAGGCAAGAGCAAGTACAAAAATGGGTTCTCAGACTTCTTGTTGAAAAACAATGACTAAATCCGTAGTTAATTTTACCCTCTATTCTCAATACCCTGTTTATAATATAAACAGTTGAATGAAGACATATTATTATTTTTCTTAAGTCCAGTCTTTGCACTTTTCACGGGTTCATTTTGTGGTATTTATTTTGTTTGGGGTTAGAGCGGAGGATATGCCTCTCGAGATGGTCTCCGAGAGCAGCCCCCTTTGCAGGCCTGGTAACAACCGAGTGTGAGATCTTCCACAAGCACCACGCCATTGTTACCCACCGGGCTCCCCATGAAAGGGAGCCTTGTGCTGACTGCCCTGGCTGTTCTTGGCAGCATGAATCTCTATAAGGAGAACAGGATGTATTTTACACTTGAGACCTGCTATCCTAGAGTCTAACAACAACACTTTTAAGTGCTCTTAATATTAAGCTAATGGAAAACATACTCTGTTTACTCACCATCAAAGTCTGTTTTTCTTCTCTCCCTCCTCCCCCAATCATCACAACCTCCCAGCCTCTAGAACACACTGAGTATCTCCTGCTCCATCGATCCTACACTCTGTCTCAAGGTTGACCTCTCCATGCTTGGTTGGCTCAAGGTGGACTTGGAAAAACTAGGAACTTACCACATAAACCATATAATCCCCAGGTCGCACAAACCAAATATTTCCTTTCTCACAAAAGTCTCAGTGCTAGAAATGCTTGATTTACTGCTAGATTTATGTTTACTGGTGTGAGAAGTCATTTCTCCTCACCAGAGAGAGACCAAGTGCGGGAGAATGGAGAAGGTGGGCCACTTTTTCTGGGTGCTGGTTCTCTCCTTGTCACGTAATAGTAGGATTCCTCACCCTCAAGATGTGGACTTGGCCAAAGTTATTTGAACCCCAGAAGTCTAATCTTTATTCTCCACTGCTTTGTGTTGTAAGAAGCCATGTCTATATGGGGTATTCCATTGGTCCGATTCTAGAGTGTGGCCCAGCCCACGATTTCCCGGTCTCCGAAGGTGCTGTCATAAGTACAGCTTGGGAAGAGGGAGCAGTGGGACAGGGAAGGCAGAGTGGGCCTCTCTATTCTAGAAGAAATGATTCACAGATTCACTCATTTCCTACTTGCGTATTGTTTTTTGCTTGGGCTTATCTTGTTAAGTAAATGTATGCATGTAAACCAGCCTTGCAGATAAATCCCCTCCATTTTGCCAGTCTACCCCCTAATATTACCAATTTCCCCCTTGCTGTGTACACATCTCTTATTATAAGACAATAAACAATAACAAAGAAGCAAATGAACCAAAGACCACCCCCCCCAACTAAAACAAACCCCTTCTCTTTTGTCTAAAAAGACCAAAATCAAAAACAAAACAAAATTGTGTGGAAATAACTTCATCGCTGTTTTTTTGATACAGGCCTTGGGCCTGTTAACTATCTGCAAGGCTGTTGTAATGATGTTAATCTATTTTAATGGAATTGAAATGTGATATCCTGTGGTTTACGATGCACATTGTTTATAGCTTTAGTGCTTGATTTTGGGTTTCTTTCACAGATAAACTTCTGCACTGGAGGGGCCTGTCCTCCCCTCGTTCTGCACACGGAGCTCTAATCCCCACGCCTGGGATGAGTGCAGAATATGCCCCGCAGGGTATTTGTAAGTTGAGCATTATTTTTTCTACAAATGTCCATGTGTATAAAGATGAGAGTTTCTGGAAATTACCCTTACCTTTTAAGTACTGAAAGGAGTTACAAAATAGATTGGCATCCTCATCTGCATTATTCCATTACTCACTTGGCACCCTCTCCCCCACTCCACTCGACCCCCTCCTCTTTCCCCTCCCCTTTTTTGTTTCTTTCCTCACTGAAGACATGGAGCTCACAGCAGCTCATCCCTGGGGTGGGGGTGGGGGTGGGGGGGTCTTCGCCCCAGGGTCTTATCTGGCTCCACGGCTCGTGACCATATACCATCTGTGTGTTCAGGGCCCATTTTATTGCTGGACATTCACTTGCATGGCCTCATTTAGGACTTGGAGTTTTTATTCCACGGTGTACGTGTTAGCAGAGGCCAGAACCAAAAGAAGTCAGTTTAGAGTTACTCTAGAGTTGTTCTCATGCATGTTATATATGCATTTATGTGTGTATTGAAACATGGTATATTTGTATATAGACATGGTGCCTTATATATGTGCATACATATACAATTTCTACTTATTTTTCTCCTAGTTTTAGAGAAAAATGCACAGCATTGTTGCTTAAATTCAAAGATTCCACGGCCACCCCACCACTACCATTAACACCATCCAAGTACTTGTTCAGACCAACTTTTATGGTGGGGAAATGTTTATGAAATGTAGATTTGTATGTTCGTAAAAATGTGTTTGAAAGATGTTGTTTTAGAAGGTAATACAGTTTGCTTTTCTATGTAGTAACAACTAATAGGAGTCATGCATGGCTACACAGTCGGATGGGGGTGGGGGTTGATTCTACCCCAAACACGAAAAGGCAGCTTCCAGAAAAAAAGAAATGTGACATCAAATTTTTATTTAAGGAATGTATTTTTATTTTGAAAGTATGTGAAAACTAACCTGTTGTGGAAAGAAGAAAAGAAAGGGAAAGTGTCACGGAAAGAAAAGAACAAGATGCAGGTGTTCAGCTAGAGAGGGGACTGGTTTTTAGGTGGCAGAGGTCAAGTAGACCTCACCATCTTGTGAATGGTGTCTGCAGGGCAGGGCATGCGCCCTGAGACCAGATTGGAAGCCAGTTGTTTGTTTTGTTAACTCCTAGGTAATCCTAGGTAACAAAGAGTTATTGTGTGAATTTCACAAGTCCTCAAGTCCTGAGGGCTGGGCGGTGCAGGGGTTAAAAAGTCCCTCTTCTGCCACCCCCTCCCCAACACCAACCTGGGCCTAAGCCTGGCTTAGGTCACTGATTGTAGAGAGTTTAGGGGGTTGGACTCTTGGTTTCGAGCCCCTACATGCTGACTGGGTGGGGAGAGCGCTCCTCATTTGGCTGGGGGTGCCTGGGGCCCTGCATGGGGCCGTGGGAACAGAGCCACCCGTGGAGGGAAGGGAAAAGAAGGAAGTGGGGCAGTAGAGAGGAGGGTGGAGCTGAGTGGCCAAGGGCTGCTGGCCTCCCTCTTCCGCTGACCCTCCTGAGGGCAGGGGGTTGGATTGGAGGGGTGGGAAACTAGGAGCCTGATTCAGAGCCCATGTCTTCTCCCCCTCTTCCCGCAAAGGGAGGGTGCCCAGTTTGCTGGTGCCCATGCCGGCAGGACCAGTTTAGGAGTGACCAGACAAGGTATGTGGAAATGGGTTGTGGAGTTCCAGAAAGCTCTTGAGCAAAGCTGACCTCCAGGTCACTCAGCTGCCTTAACCGGCTGCCCTTGGCTGGCAGAGCATTTAGCACTTAACCTTGTGGCTTCCCTGCTGGTCGACCACAGTCGTGGGCCCTAATGTGGCCCCCTCTTGCTGCCTTCTAGCCGGGGCCTCCCCTTGGCCTGGGCTGAGGCCTGGATTCTGGATTCCAGCCTTCTACAGGAAGCCCTTCTGGGTGTACAACGTGGTCAGTCATCACGCTAGGTTAACTCACCAAGCCTGGGAGTAATGAAAACTCACATTCACGTCGGACCTGGTAGTTTACATATGGGTTTTGTATACGTCTGTCATCTGAGCCTCACAATTCTTTCAGGTACTGTTTTTATGCTCACTTTACAGATAGGAAACCTAAGGTTCAAAGAAATGACATGACTGGCTCAGAGCCCTAAGCTGGTAAATAGTAGAGCCAGGGGTCTGGTGTCAGACCTTGTTCTTCCAAATCCTGAGGCTTAGATCACATTACTTTTTAGCATTGCTGATAACCTAAAAATGGGTTATTCCTTCCCATACAGTAAAAAGAAATAAAATAAAAGCCGGTAGGTGAGTTAATAGCCAATTTTAACCGTTTGATGCCTGGAGTTCCTACGCTTGGGGCCAGGTCTCAGTTTATTGCTCTAAATCAAAACAATCCCCGTGAATGCCCAATGAGGCTCTCAAATTGAGAAGTTGATTTTCATCAGAGTAAATGAAGAATATTATTATATTTTACATGTCAATAAATCAATGTAGCCCTAATTTTGCCACGCAGGAAATCAATTCTGGCCTTTCTAAACCATCAAAGATGTTATGAACAAAGTAATTTCACAAATTATGGCAAGTAACACATTTATTGATGACTGCAGTTTAGGAATTGAGAATCTGTGAGCACCGTAATATAATATGGTGCAGTGGCGTGAGCTGAGTAAAACACAGATTATGTGGTGAAACTGTAAGGCATCATTTGCTATTAGTGGACTAGTAATAATTACCAGTTTCAAAGCCGCTCTTTCGATGTAATCTTTAGTCTCAATCGTAACAGCCCTTCTCATTGACGTTATGATTACACTAGCTGCCCTCATGATCTAGAATATCTAGTTGATAGGATACTAAAATGCGATAGTGAAAACTGTATGTTGTGTGCTCATCATAAGATGAAATGGCATCTTCTCTGACCCGATGTATGGAGAGGAGAGGGTAACAGCATAGTGTGAACATATACTGTAGAGTGATCACATCACTGGCTCTGAAAACAGAATTTCAGGAAGGTTCAGAGCAGCAAAATAAGACAGACTTTTCTCATTTAAGCCTTTTGGAGAGGATACAGGTGCGCTCCCTGATGCGGTGCTATATGACTTTCAGCACTCACCAGTGGCCATCCCGTTCAGGGTGCATGCGAAACCGGCATTGCTAATTATGGGTCCAGTCCTGGGATTCAATAGAATATTATAAGCTAAGATACGATTTTAAGGCATTTGGAGTGATGAAAGTGTTAAGGACTTGTTTCAGCTGACAGATCTCCTTTTTACTTATCCAATTCAGATTGTCAGGCTAAATGTATGATAATAACACAGAGTCCTAGGGAGGCAAAGGAGAAAGCCACGGAGGGTCACGTTAGTTGGAACCAGATAGTTTTTTTCCTGACTATTTAGGACCCAAGTCATTGTTCAACAACAACAAAAAATTTATGAAAATACTCTCAATGATGCTTTTTATTTCCCTTTGAAGAGAGGAGGAAAACAAAAATAGGCAGATAATGTGATACTAATGTCAGCATTTTCTTTCAAAATCTTTCTGCCTTTTTTTTTTTTTTCCTCCCTCCACATTAGGCAAATGTTGGAAACCTAATTTTGGTATCTTATCATCTAATCTTGTTAAAGAGATTTACCCAGGAGTGGGATACATTGAGGGAGATTATAAATGCATTGTAAAGTAAATTACAAGGTCAGGGCAGGGAGTCCATTATTCAGACAAGTGCTTGAGCAAGCGGGCTTGTTTTGGAATGCAAGTGTTTGGGGCTCCTGAGAAGACCCTGCCAGCTTTTCTTTCTGACTTGCTAAATGGAGGAATCATAATTGATTAATTCCTCATTCCCACTCTTTAGCTCCATGGTGGATTTTTTGCTTTTAAAAAAAAGTTACTGACATATACTAGCTGGGGGCCTTACGTGACTCGTCTAGTCCCCCTTTTAAAAGACAGGCTAAAGTTTATTTCTCATTTGTGTTTTACACACTGTCTTTTTTGGAATCCCTGGGAAGTTAACTATTTTTCTCATCCTTGTCCTTTGGCCACCAACATTTGTGCCCTTTTTAATGCTGTAGTTGACTGGTAAACTGTTAGTTACTCCCTTGGTGTATATATATTTTCAAATTTAGCTATCTCCAAAAATGAATGATTGTGAAGTCAAGTTGGCCCCTCTTTGCCAAAGTGGCATTTACCGCTCTCGGGTTCTTTTCAGCGAGAGAGAAATAATGTGACTTAAGCAGGGCCCCTCTCCAGACGGCTTGGCTACTGGCCAAAGAGTTGACTAGCTGAACTGTATCTTTCTGTTTCTTTCTCAACTGGAGCTGAGGCTCAGCCGAGGGCGCAGGATGTTGTATAATTTGGTTCACGTTGTTAGCCTCTCAAAATAATGAGGAGGAGGATAGTGTAGCATTTCTCAGCCTGCTGCCCGTCATGGTGCTGGCTGCTTTAACTGTTCTTAAACTAGGATGCTGTGTCTGCTTAAGTTGGCACCAGCCCCTCCTCCTAACTTCTCCAGACTTGCATTTGTTTGACTGGGGGACAACTCCTAAAGATTCGATACGGCCTGTTGGTTAAATCCGAATTAAATTTCTCTTTTGAGATTTTTTGCACCATCCCTTGAGATAAAAATGGGAGTCCCTATAGGGTGTTGTGGGACCAGGATTGGGACTCACTGATCCTCACGCCGGCTGGGATGTGAGAAGGTTGCTAGTTTCTCTTCCTGGAATTATTTTATGAGTATCTTCTCATTTTTAACAATATCAACAATTAGTGTGTTTCAGGCTAAGATTAAAAGCATCTCTAGGGCCATAGAGAATTGTAATGAGTTGACCTTCTCTTTTTTGATATCTCTATGAAATGATTGCCTCTTTAGAAAGTTCACCTGCCACCCAGGGGAGAATAGAACGATGGGATTTAGGAAGCAGAGAAGTTTCCCTTAGGTCACCTTGTCCAAGTCCCTCACTTAACAAATGAGGAAACGGAGGCACAGAGATGAAGTCGCCCACCCCAAACCACAGCTGGCGAGAGACTGGGAAGCTCAGATGTTTGCTGAGTTTCCCTAGAATGTAGGGATCCTCATTCCTAAGCTTGTATTGGTCCAGATTTTTCTGCTTTGGAGATTGGATTTAAAATTCTTAGAACTGAATGAAATGGCAGAAAGACTGACTGGACAACTATTTATTGGGCACCAATATGTGCCGGGCACCAATGTAGGCATGGGCAATAATAGGTCAGTTAGGGCTTAGGCCTGTGGGGTCGAGGGCTGGGGGGCAGGGAAGGCAGGAGGTGAAACATAAAGAAGCAGTTGCTAACGCCCTCCTCTGTGATTAAACATTGATGTTGGTGTTGTATTATTTTGCAGGTAAAGATGAGCCCAGCAGCTACACATGTACAACTTGCAAACAGCCATTCACCAGTGCATGGTTTCTCTTGCAACACGCACAGAACACTCATGGATTAAGAATCTACTTAGAAAGCGAACACGGAAGTCCCCTGACCCCGCGGGTTGGTATCCCTTCAGGACTAGGTGCAGAATGTCCTTCCCAGCCACCTCTCCATGGGATTCATATTGCAGACAATAACCCCTTTAACCTGCTAAGAATACCAGGATCAGTATCGAGAGAGGCTTCCGGCCTGGCAGAAGGGCGCTTTCCACCCACTCCCCCCCTGTTTAGTCCACCACCGAGACATCACTTGGACCCCCACCGCATAGAGCGCCTGGGGGCGGAAGAGATGGCCCTGGCCACCCATCACCCGAGTGCCTTTGACAGGGTGCTGCGGTTGAATCCAATGGCTATGGAGCCTCCCGCCATGGATTTCTCTAGGAGACTTAGAGAGCTGGCAGGGAACACGTCTAGCCCACCGCTGTCCCCAGGCCGGCCCAGCCCTATGCAAAGGTTACTGCAACCATTCCAGCCAGGTAGCAAGCCGCCCTTCCTGGCGACGCCCCCCCTCCCTCCTCTGCAATCTGCCCCTCCTCCCTCCCAGCCCCCGGTCAAGTCCAAGTCATGCGAGTTCTGCGGCAAGACGTTCAAATTTCAGAGCAACCTCGTGGTGCACCGGCGCAGCCACACGGGCGAGAAGCCCTACAAGTGCAACCTGTGCGACCACGCGTGCACGCAGGCCAGCAAGCTGAAGCGCCACATGAAGACGCACATGCACAAGTCGTCCCCTATGACGGTCAAGTCCGACGACGGCCTCTCCACCGCCAGCTCCCCGGAACCCGGCACCAGCGACCTGGTGGGCAGCGCCAGCAGCGCGCTCAAGTCTGTGGTGGCCAAGTTCAAGAGCGAGAACGACCCCAACCTGATCCCGGAGAATGGGGACGAGGAGGAAGAGGAGGACGACGAGGAAGAGGAAGAAGAGGAGGAAGAGGAGGAGGAGGAGCTGACGGAGAGCGAGAGGGTGGACTACGGCTTCGGGCTGAGCCTGGAGGCGGCGCGCCACCACGAGAACAGCTCGCGGGGCGCGGTGGTGGGCGTGGGCGACGAGGGCCGCGCCCTGCCTGATGTCATGCAGGGCATGGTGCTCAGCTCCATGCAGCACTTCAGCGAGGCCTTCCACCAGGTCCTGGGCGAGAAACATAAGCGCGGCCACCTGGCCGAGGCCGAGGGCCACAGGGACACTTGCGACGAAGACTCGGTGGCCGGCGAGTCGGACCGCATAGACGATGGCACTGTTAACGGCCGCGGCTGCTCCCCGGGTGAGTCGGCCTCGGGGGGCTTGTCCAAAAAGCTGCTGCTGGGCAGCCCCAGCTCGCTGAGCCCCTTCTCCAAGCGCATCAAGCTCGAGAAGGAGTTCGACTTGCCCCCGGCCGCGATGCCCAACACGGAGAACGTGTACTCGCAGTGGCTCGCTGGCTACGCGGCCTCCAGGCAGCTCAAAGATCCCTTCCTTAGCTTCGGAGACTCCAGACAATCGCCTTTCGCCTCCTCGTCGGAGCACTCCTCGGAGAACGGGAGCTTGCGCTTCTCCACGCCGCCCGGGGAGCTGGACGGAGGGATCTCGGGGCGCAGCGGCACGGGAAGTGGAGGGAGCACGCCCCATATTAGTGGTCCGGGCCCGGGCAGGCCCAGCTCAAAAGAGGGCAGACGCAGCGACACTTGTGAGTACTGTGGGAAAGTCTTCAAGAACTGTAGCAATCTCACTGTCCACAGGAGAAGCCACACGGGCGAAAGGCCTTATAAATGCGAGCTGTGCAACTATGCCTGTGCCCAGAGTAGCAAGCTCACCAGGCACATGAAAACGCATGGCCAGGTGGGGAAGGACGTTTACAAATGTGAAATTTGTAAGATGCCTTTTAGCGTGTACAGTACCCTGGAGAAACACATGAAAAAATGGCACAGTGATCGAGTGTTGAATAATGATATAAAAACTGAATAGAGGTATATTAATACCCCTCCCTCACTCCCACCTGACACTTCCTTTTTTCACCACCCCCCCTCCCCCATCGCCCTCCAGCCCCACTCCCCCGTAGGATTTTTTTCTAGTCCCATGTGATTAAACAAACAAACAAACAGAAGTAACGGAAGCTAAGAATATGAGAGTGCTTGTCACCAGCACACCTGTTTTTTTTTCTTTTTCTTTTTTCTTTTTCTTTTTTTCCTTTATGTTCTCACCGTTTGAATGCATGATCTGTATGGGGCAATACTATTGCATTTTACGCAAACTTTGAGCCTTTCTCTTGTGCAATAATTTACATGTTGTGTATGTTTTTTTTTTTTTAAACTTAGACAGCATGTATGGTATGTTACGGCTATTTTAAATTGTCCCCGATTCGTTGCTGAGCAAACATGTTGCTGTTTCCAGTTCCGTTCTGAGAGAAAAAGAGAGAGAGAGAGAAAAAGACCATGCTGCATACGTTCTGTAATACATATCATGTACAGTTTTATTTTATAACGTGAGGAGGAAAAACAGTCTTTGGGTTAACCCTCTATAGACAGAATAGACAGCACTGAAACAAAATCTCTATGAGCTAAATGTCTGTCTCTAAAGGGTTAAATGTATCAATTGGAGAGGAAAAAAAAGGCCTTGAATTGACAAATAAACAGAAAAACAAAACAAGCTTATTCTATCATTTGGTTTTAAAATATGAGTGCCTTGGATCTATTAAAACCACGTTGATGGTTCTTTCTACTTGTTATAAACTTGTAGCTTAATTCAGCATTGGGTGAGGTAAGAAACCTTAGGACCTAGCATATAATTCTATATTGTATTTCTCACAACAATGGCTACCTAAAAAATATGACCCATTATGTCCTAGTTAATCATCATTTTCCCTTTAGTTTAATCTTATAAGCAAAACTGATTATACCAGTATAAACGCTATTTTGCTCCTGGTGAGAGCTTAAAAGAAATGGGCTGTTTTGCCCAAAGTTTTATTTTTTTTAAATGATGATTAAATTGAATGTGAAATGTGCAAAAGCCCTGGAATACAATTAAATGCATTAGTAAGGAATTCATTTTATGAAGATAACTTGTTTTAAATAATGTCTGTCTAAAAAAATTCTGGCACCAAAAGAAATAGATCCAGATCTACTTGGTTGTCAAAGGGACAATCAAATGATAAACTTTAAGACCTCGTAGACCATATTAAAAAGAAGAGACTGACAATAAGGTTTGACAGAGGGTAACAGGAAAAAAACAATATGTGATCTTTTAGCACAACGTGGTACTATTTGCCATTTTAAACTAGAACAGGTGTATAAGCTAATATTGATACAATGATGATTAACTATGAATTCTTAAGACTTGTGTTTAAATGTGACATTCTTAAAAAAGAAGAGAAAGAATTTTAAGAGTAGCAGTATATATGTCTGTGCTCCCTAAAAGTTGTACTTCATTTCTTTTCCATACACTGTGTGCTATTTGTGTTAACATGGAAGAGGATTCATTGTTTTTATTTTATTTTTTTAATTTTTTCTTTTTTATTAAGCTAGCATCTGCCCCAGTTGGTGTTCAAATAGCACTTGACTCTGCCTGTAATATCTGTATCTTTTCTCTAATCAGAGATACAGAGGTTGAGTATAAAATAAACCTGCTCAGATAGGACAATTAAGTGCACTGTACAATTTTCCCAGTTTACAGGTCTATACTTAAGGGAAAAGTTGCAAGAATGCTGAAAAAAAAAAAAAAATTGAACACAATCTCATTGATGAGCATTTTTTAAAAAAAAAACTAAAAAAAAAACTTTGCCAGCCATTTACTTGACTAATGAGCTTACTTACTCGGACTCAACATTGCAAGCGCTGTGAATGGAAAACAGAATACACTTAACATAGAAATGAATGATTGCTTTCGCTTCTACAGTGCAAGGATTTTTTTGTACAAAACTTTTTTAAATATAAATGTTAAGAAAAGAATTTTTTTAAAAAACACTTCATTATGTTTAGGGGGGAACTGCATTTTAGGGTTCCATTGTCTTGGTGGTGTTACAAGACTTGTTATCCATTTAAAAATGGTAGTGGAAATTCTATGCCTTGGATACACACCGCTCTTCAGGTTGTAAAAAAAAACATACATTGGGGAAAGGTTGAAGATTATATAGTACTTAAATATAGGAAAATGCACACTCATGTTGATTCCTATGCTAAAACACATTTATGGTCTTTTTTCTGTATTTCTAGAATGGTATTTGAATTAAATGTTCATCTAGTGTTAGGCACTATAGTATTTATATTGAAGCTTGTATTTTTAACTGTTGCTTGTTCTCTTAAAAGGTATCAATGTACCTTTTTTGGTAGTGGAAAAAAAAAAAAAAGACAGGCTGCCACAGTATATTTTTTTAATTTGGCAGGATAATATAGTGCAAATTATTTGTATGCTTCAAAAAACAAAAAGAGACAAACAAACAAGTGTGACATTGTACAGATGAGAAGCCATATAATGGCGGTTTGGGGGAGCCTGCTAGAATGTCACACGGATGGCTGTCATAGGGGTTGTACATATCCTTTTTTGTTCCTTTTTCCTGCTGCCATACTGTATGCAGTACTGCAAGCTAATAACGTCGGTTTGTTATGTAGTGTGCTTTTTGTCCCTTTCCTTCTATCACCCTACATTCCAGCATCTTACCTTCATATGCAGTAAAAGAAAGAAAGAAAAAAAAAAAGGAAAAAAAACAAAAACAATGTTTTGCAGTTTTTTTCATTGCCAAAAACTAAATGGTGCTTTATATTTAGATTGGAAAGAATTTCATATGCAAAGCATATTAAAGAGAAAGCCCGCTTTAGTCAATACTTTTTTGTAAATGGCAATGCAGAATATTTTGTTATTGGCCTTTTCTATTCCTGTAATGAAAGCTGTTTGTCGTAACTTGAAATTTTATCTTTTACTATGGGAGTCACTATTTATTATTGCTTACGTGCCCTGTTCAAAACAGAGGCACTTAATTTGATCTTTTATTTTTCTTTGTTTTTATTTTTTTTTATTTGGATGACCAAAGGTCATTACAACCTGGCTTTTTATTGTATTTGTTTCTGGTCTTTGTTAAGTTCTATTGGAAAAACCACTGTCTGTGTTTTTTTGGCAGTTGTCTGCATTAACCTGTTCATACACCCATTTTGTCCCTTTATTGAAAAAAATAAAAAAAATTAAAGTACACAATGTAAGCTTCTTGTGTCCTCATTTGACACACTCTGTAAATTACTTTCAAGAAAATAACAGGTTTTAAGAGAAGGCCAGTCAGTCTTTTTCAGGATTATTTCTATGGGTATTTTGATGCGTGTATTATACCCTAAAGTGTATATATACCCTACTATATTAATATAGACATATCTCAAAACATGGAAATAGTTTTTAGATTTTATAGTTCTAGAATAATTTTCAAGAAATGGAAAGTGTTTTCAGTCTGATGTTAAAAACTTTCCCTTCATCTCTTAACGATAATCTATTCAGATATAAATGAAAAATTTACTGGTAATAGCATCTTAAACTTTTATTTCCTTTGGATTTTTTGCTGTTCTTGTTGTCTGAAAGTTCTTTTCTATTCTCCCTTCCCTGCTCTATCTTAGAACATAATGTAAAAAATCAGCTCTTTCGTTTCCATATGAGTCTTTCTTCATACCAAAAATAACCTCACCCTCCCCATAAAAATCCAGAAACAAAAGCATCAGGTTAACGAGAGAGAGAGAGAGAGAGAGAGAGAGAGAAAGAGAGAGAGAGAAGTAACCAGTAGTTTAGCCAGATGTGGCAAATCTCTGGAATCAGCCACTGATTTCCTGAGATGGATGGTGGTTTGCCTTGTGCTTCTGAGATCCTAGGGACCAGAGATGGGACAGATCTTTTAGGCGCTTTTCTAGTGTGTTCCTGGCTGATAGCAAAAGAGGGGGTGAAATACCCTTCAGTGATCTTTTGCCCAACCAACAGATTTATGAAATGAAACATAGTCTTTGGAAAGCAGGTTAGGTCCCTTATAAAAACCCCTCCTTAGAAATCTGTGTCGTCAGTTTTACAAATACTGCATGCTGCAGCATCTATTTGCTTTCTTAAAACACATACTTCTGTGATACTGTCTCCCTGTTCCCAGTGTAGATGAATGGATACAACGTTGTTCTTCTTTTTGTAAAAACCAAAACAAAAGCTGTTCTGTTGTCTTCTTGTGGTAGCATTTTTGTTGCTTAGGTCTTATGCCCTGGTGCCTGTGAGGTGGCCTTTTCATGTAATGCCTTTTATCTGAGGCAAGAATAGTTTTATCCTTCTAAAATACACAGAAAGTAGGTATATTTTTTTAAAGCCAGTTTGGGTGGGAAGCAGGGAGTGAAGGCAGAGAGGAATCCCGTACGAGAGGATTTGGGCCTGGGTGTAGGAGCTGGGATGAGATGGACGTATCTTGCAGGACTTGGTAATTGGCAGTGAACTGAGAGGCGGTATTTGTGTTTTGAATTAGGTTACTTCACAACTGAATCCAGAATACTATGCAAGATAGAAATATTCCCCAGGGCCATGCCGGTTTTAGATGTGGTGACTTCCGCTCCACCATATTAAATGTCCATAAAACCGCTGTGTGTCCCCTATTACTCTTTTATTAGGAGCTATGAGTGCAGCTGTGCAGGTTTTGTATACAGTGTTCATTTTAATTTTTCAGTGTATGATGCTCTTAGCATAATTAGGTTTTGCGTCCTGACAGACAGAATTAATGGTGGATACTGTATACTTACTTGTATGTTCAAATTTCTTAAATGGGGAATGGGGAGGGGTACAAGCATCTGGTGATAAATCACGGATTATGTTTGATTTACATGGTCCCGAAGTTAAATAAATTTATTGGGAGACACGTTCTTCAGGGTACTTAGTCTTCTGACTTATTGAAGCCCTCTTATAAAATCTTATTTCTGAAGCTGAGTGAACAATAGGAGCCTGAAAACCTAGGCAACAGGAATATAACTTAAAAATGGCATCTGTATCCGGAACCCCAAAATTAAAAATCTTAATGCAAAATAACAAAAAACATTTCCAACTGAGGATAAATTCATGATATTTTTTTTAAATGAGGAAATACTAAGGATATTAACATTTTTCAGAATTCTCCAGTTTATGTGATACCCCTGATGTGTTGATGCAATGTCCTCTACATACGTGAACTCTTAATGCTTAAATGTTCCCTTCTATCTTCATTTGGAGAACAACTTAATAAACAGGAGGACAGCAAATACTACTTCTCACAGATTTTAACTTAGAAACCCTCCCAGTGCATGGACTGCCTCTATCCTGAGACCGTTTCCCATCTTCTCTTTGTTTAGGACCTACAAAAGGACTGAAGCCAATACATTTTAAAGGTGGCTAAGAAGTGGGGTGAACACTTGCTTCTTCATTTGTACCAGCCATGGCAGAAAGTGTGAAGTAGTTGAATTTTTCCCAGGGCCTTCTCTGATAGAACTGTTTATTTAAATACCATTTTTGTATATGTAATGAGTACGTACTGTATATGTTCATAATGCTTGAAGTGAGAATTTGAAAGGAAGTGGCAGTGGGGGTCAGATATCATTTCATTTGGAGCAATAAGGAAATGAGGTGGTTTATTCGCAGACACTGAAAGTTTGTTAAAAGGTACTGGGATATTTCAGGCTTTCCTGAAAAGGTGTTGAGGAGCCTCAGGCCCCATCCTGTCCTGCTTTGAACACTTTACTCTCAGAGCATGAGGGAGGAAATACGGTGTTTTCTTTTTTTTTTTTTTTAAAGCCTCTTTCGCCCTCTGTACGCACACACAAACATGATTTCTTATGACTGTGTTGTAGTCGTGTGTTCTTCATTATGATTCTGTTACTCCATCGTTCCCGGGCCTGGTGTGTTCAAGAATGTACCCATCCCATTCTCTTTTCTTTTTTCAGACAACTTCCCATTAAAAAAAAAAAAAAAGAAAAAGAAAAAGAAATGTGGGAATTTTGCCAGTGTGAGGATGGGATTGGCAGTGTTCTTTAAACCTGCTTGGAAAAATGTTCTTTGAAAGACTGTTAACTTTTTAAAAAGGCATGAGGCACTTAGCAAATTTTCCTAAGTGTCTCCTAAGGCCCTGCAGCTTTCCCAATTAAGAATAAATGAACCCATGTTTAGAGAAATGGACATCAGGACACATAGCCAGAATTGGGATTACGTACATTTATTTCAGGGCTTCTATAGCTGCGAATGGTAGACATGGGTTGTTGGGTGTGCACTTTTGCTTGCTGTCATCTTGTTATCCCATTAGCCCTCTGTTTCATTTAGTAAAACACATGGCCAGTGAATTAGCCTTTAGGGGGATGGGTCTGTTTCTCTCTCTCTCTCTGTTTCCCAGTGTCATCTATGGTCATGGGATGCAATTAATTCCTCCCTTTCAAACGGGAAAGGAGACCAATTCAGTTCACGTGGGTCATTGTACTTAAGAACTGAAACTTGCCTGAACACAACTCCAATGGTTGATCCAAATACCGTTTTTTCTTTCTGTAAAGTGGCAAAGACTACTTAAAGGGAGCGGATATCAGGTCCTTGTGATTCAGCAGAAAAGGCAAATTAAACGATTTCCCCAAAGTCAATCCTCTAATGCAGGATCCACTCCCCCACCCCCAAACCCATAGGGGGTTGTGCTGTGCTTTTCAATAACGGTGAGCGGGGGTACATGCCCAGGCTGTGTTTTGTCTGTTAGGGTTTTCAGTACTGGTAGCAGGTCGGACAAAGGGGTTTGATGGGGGTATCAGCTAGAGGGGCCTCAACGACAGTGACAGGGCTGGACTGGGAACGGGGTTCCCCAGAACCCACCTGGACACAGGAGGCCCCTCAGTCCGGGTCTCCACTGCGCAGGGGGAATTCGGGAGAGCAGCTGAGCTCCAGACCCTGGGCCTCCTGCGGCGCCAAGTCGGGGAAGAGGAGGCCCCAGGCCCCTGCTTCGGGTCGCCATGGCAACGAGCCCTGGAATGCCACAGTGGTAGCCCTCTTCCTCGGCACATCCGGACTCCCAGTTCTGCTGCTTCAAGTCAATGTACACAGCAAGGGAGGAACCCCGGAGGAAAATAACCACTCCCTTCTTCCCTTCACCATTGCCTTTCCCCCTTACCAAAAAGAAAAAAAGGAAAAGAAAACTGCATGTTTGAAAGAAACTACAGGCAGTTTTTGGTGCAATTTGGGAGCAACTATTTTGGGTTCTGGTTTCCTCTTCAGAGATTTGTTCGCCTCTTGTAAATCGTTGGCTGCTTTGACGTTGAACTTGATGACATTTCATGTTTTCGTTGTGCTGCTTTTACATCAATTTTGAGTTTCTGTTTCTTTATAATTTTATTATTATTTTAAGGAAATGTCCCCCTGCCCCCCTCCCTCCCCTGTTCTCCTCAACCAAAGGACTGTTTCCTACTCAGTTTTCTCAGTCGTAAGGGAAAGTGTTTCCTTCCAGGTGTGTCCCCAGTTTATTAGGACTATCATATGAGCGGGTAGCGGGTCTGGGTCCCTGGCGGGGGAAGGCAGGGAGGGAGGCATGGGAAAGGCACTCAGAGGTCAGAGATGTGGGGGGAGGGGACTGAGTTTGAAATCATGTTTAAGATGCCAGTGGCTCAACCTGTGGTGAATTTAAGTTATAGTTTTAAAAAGCTAGTTAGAGAACAGAAAATCACTGGGCCAAGTCACACCTGTACTTTTTTTTTCCCCTCCTCTGTCTCCAACCTCTTTCTAGGTTCTTCACACACCCCCATTCGGCGTAGTACCCAGAGAGCTCAAGATGTGTGGCAGTTTTCGGATGGAAGCTCGAGAGCCCTTAAGTTCTGAGAAAATTTGAAGCCCCCAGGGGCGGGGTGGACGAGAGCCGCCCAGCCGACATCTGCGTGGTCTGTCATCCTGCTAGTTTGTGATGTTTTCTGACAGTAGCCTCCAAGAAGCCGTTGTGCGAAGACAGAGTCCTGCAGAGTCCTTCCTGCCCGGGCCTGCAGTGCCATTTTATTTATATTTTTTAATAAAAAGTAAAAACAAAAAAACAGACCCACATTGGAACAGTGAATCAGTCCCATTACAGAGGGCCCCTGGACCATCGCTGTCCTGAGCAGCGTCCTGGCCCTTTTAAAACCAGCCAACCTAATTACCCGTATTGTGGAAATGAGCATGAGTCCCCCAACCCCTTGTTTCTATACATTCTATGTTGTCTTTTAAAAAGTGTGCTTAACATTGACACAATAAATGTTGGAGCTTTAGGTGGTGTTTGCTTGTTCTTTAATTATTAATGCTTATAAGACAATGCAGCTGCTTATGACTTTGTATTTCTGTACCCGTTTCCTGCAGACATCCATTGGGTGGGTAGGAGGAACAGATTTGAGGAATGGGTAGGAGGTGTAGGAGGGGAAAGAGGTTACTGCTTATCAGATGGCATAAATTTTCAAGGAGAATCAAAATGCAAAACTTGGGAATAAATCATAGCAATATCATAATTAATGTAGTAGTAGTGTTGCTGTTTATTAATGCTGAAGTGTGGTTTTCCTAACTGTCTGACTTATAATTTGCATACCATTAAATAATGCATAATATGGCACGCTGAATTCTGTTTTTCAAATATATGCTTTTGGTGGCTACCGAGCAGGATTTGAATTTGTCTTTTAATTTAGCTCAAGAAAGATAACGTCACTGGGTTAGTGGTAAATCCCAAAGAAGGTGATAAATGTCAGTAGTGGCTTATTAAATATTCTAATTTTAGGTTCCCAAACCTTTAGCAAATATATCTTAATACAGACAAACAAACACACATAAAACTTCTTTATTACTTACATTACTCGTATTAGGAAATTTGGGGCAGATTTTATATGGCAGGGGAGGGAACTGTGGGAGGAAGGAGGTTCACATCAGAACACACAGTTGTGATCGTGTCGTCCATTCCTCAGAAATCAGTGACACAAATAAATTAGTTCTACAAACAGGTGATAAAAATCCCTTCTGGTCCAGTTAATTTACAAAGAACTTTTCTCAATTTGGTGTTTTCTATTGCCTGGAGAACCAGAAGAGAACTAGAAACAATATAGCATATTAAAATAGGCTTATAAATAATAGAACTCAGACACCTGTGTATTATAGATTTACATATTGGCTGTGAACGTAAGTGGGGAAAATCTTACCCACTCACTACCCTCTGGCTAGATTACCTAGCCTAGTGAGAAGATAGCAAAATAATTGGCATCTGGATTCTTTCCTGCTTATTCATCATAAATAATGACTTCTTACAGTAGCGTACTGCCTTCTACTTTATACAGTGCTTTCATGAACATTATTTCATCTGATCATCGTCGGGACAGATCTCACAACTTCCACTTTGTGGGTGAGGAGACTGAGGCTCGCCAGGGTTAAGGGCTTGCCGCAGGCCAGGACGATGAGAGGGAGGGGAAGAAAGCCAGGTGTTCTGGTGTCTAGTCCAGAGCTGATTTCACTGAACTCTATAACTGATCAAAGAGAAGTGTCTCCCTGTGTTAGCACACAAGTCATTAATGTTCATAAACGCACACACGTATGGCGTGCGCGCGCACACATACACACACACACACACACACAGATCAGGGATGTCCATAGGTCAGGGCACGCAAAATTGTCCCTTTCTACCAACAGCCGTGGGCACTGCAGGAGGAGGTTGGAGCAAGGGTCCCTCCTTGCCGTCTTTTCCCGGTGTCTTTTCCAGGACAGATAAACAACCCTGATTGACTAGGTGGCCTTGATGAGTTTTTCCTCTCACCTAGGTGGGATGGGGCTTCCAGACAAGAGTTATTTCCTGGAGAAACATTCTCCCTGCCCCATGCTCTGCCTTTATGTTGTTGAAACCTGAGACCAATAGGGATTCTGTGACAGCATCCTCCCTGAATGTGCTAAGCTCCTTGCTGATACTTCCAAAAAGTGACACCATTTCCAAAGGGAGACCCGACTGAGATAGAGCAAACAATTAAGATTCTTTTGGACAATGTCGGCCTTGGTTGGTAACTGCACTTGGTGTTCACTACACTTTCATTTCTGGTCTACGTTTCTGCCTCTACCTCTTTTTTCTTCTCGGAGTCAGAAAGTAAATGGGTAATTATAAATTATTGGGTAATTGTAAATAAGTGGATCCGTTATAAATACATGGCTATCTCTAGAAGTGGGATTTTTGTTTTTTGAGGGGGTGGGGGAGGAGAGAGGGTGTGGGTAAAGGATATCTTTTCTTCCTCCCCCTTTTGGGGGAAAAAAAAAGACGTCTCATTAAAAAAAAGAAAAGACCATCTCTTTCTCCCATATCTTTTTCAGTTGGAAGAGAATAAAAGTTCATTTATGAAATTCATTATGAAATGATGGTGTTGTGCTAGGGCTAGAACTTTTGAAAATCCACACAGGATTGATGATTTGGGAAGACATCTCCCTGTGCGATATGTCAAGGTCGTGGTTATCCGTGAATGGTGGAAGCCGAAGAAGGGACTGACAAATCTGATCGGGGTCCTCACTGTGCCCTCTCCTGAGAGTGAAACTTCAAATTGCAGAGAGATTAATTGGTTGCCCAGCAGGTACTGAGCACGGATTAGAGGACACAGTCTCGGGTGCTTGGGAGGGTGGGGACCAGACATGGGACATTGTTCTTACCCTCCCAAGCCTGGTCTATGAACATTAATTTTGCGGTCTGTCCAGATTGTCACACTAAACAAAAAAGTCTAGTTAGACTTCTGAATCCATGATGGCAGAGACTCAGTAGCTCCTGCAAAAACTGGTGGTAGTTTAAAGAAAAATTTAGGCAAGGCAAGCAAACTTGGATTCTACTGAGGTCTAACCGAGTGCCCCAAACCTTGGCAGAATGTTTCCCTGGCATTTTTGCTTGGAGTTTTCAACAACTTTTGTATTAGAGTCAAGCCTTGCAAAAGGTGAAGAATATCTTTCAAGTATTGTGTGCACTGACACGATTTTCCTTTTTTTGAGGGCTAGTTGAGATTAATGTTGAAGAAGATGATTATCAATATTAACATGTTTCCCTTCTACAGTAATGTTTATTTCTATCAAGAATTCCATCAAGAATCAGTGTCTCCAGGAAGTGGTGGTAGAGAGGGTCAGAATTGAAGTATTTTGAGGATACCTGGGTGGCTCGGTTGGTTAAGCTCCTACCTTCAGCTCGGGTCGTGGTCCCAGGGCCCTGGGATCAAGTTCTGCGTTGGGCTCCTTGCTCAGCAGGGAGCCTGCTTCTCCCTCTGCCTGCCGCTCTCCCTGTTTGTGCTCTCTTTCTCTCTGTCAAATAAATGGATAAAATCTAAAAGAAAAAAAAAAAGAATTGAAGTATTTTGTAGGCTGTTGTTTCTCTTCTTCCATGCCATATAGCTTTGGCTCCTTTTGGGATATAGCGTGAGGAAACAGATTCGAGGAATTTACATACTGGCTGTGAAGTCAATATAAAGTTGAATTGGAATTTCAGAAACAATGAATATTGCAAGCACACCTTCCTCTTCTTCAACGATCCATTCTGTCCGAGTTCTTAACCAACAGGGAAACAATAATGCTATTTCTTTTCTCTGAGTCTCTAGCAGAGACAGCACTCCTCAGTTTGCACTCCCCCAGGGTTACATTAAGACAAAGTACGTCACACTTCCAGCAAAATCCAGAAACGTAATTGTTTTCCTTCCTATCTTAGTGTAATTAAGATACCTTCTTGTTAAATCACATTACTTTTCCCCCTGGCTTTATATTTTTAAGAATGCTCCCAGAAAATACCTAAGGCTTATGGAACACTTTTATAGATATGATAGAATCAATTTTCCTAGCGATTCTAGAAAGGTGGGCCAAGAACCGACTACAGCAGAAAGGAACCACAGCAATCATCCATTTTACAGATCAGGGCAGCAAAGTCCCAAAGATTAAGTGAAGGATCTAAGATCACACAGCCTGGGGGGAAAAAAAGAAAAGTGAGAGCCAAGCTCGAAATCACACAGTTAGTGGTTGAGTCAGAATTGGAACTCAAGTCTCCAGCTCCCGTGCAAAGGAATTCAAGCGGCAAATCTCTCCCTTGTGACCTACTAAATTCAGAAGCAAGAGCGGCAGAAAAGTGTGCATTACGGAAGGTTTTAAGAATAAAATCAAAAGCTTGTTTTGGTGCCAGTCCTGGTGGGGAGCATGTGAGCATGTCCCATATTTCAAGGGTTTCTAAGCAGCATCCCGATGGCAGAGAACATTTAGGTCACTACCTGGAAACATTCCTCCTTTAATTCACCCCACCGATGGTAGAAATAAACTTAGGGACCGAGAATTGCTGTGAGACAGCTTTTAAAGTTAAAAGGGCATAAAAAAGAGCTACTCATCAAACCAAATTCATCTCGAATGACTTAAATAGATTTCACAATCTGTTCCATTCTCTAGACAGGATTTAAGAGAAACACCCACTTAATTTGAATTTCAAGGCCACATCACATCCTGTTAGAGAATCCAAATAGCCAATAGCATGACCTGAATCTTGTTACTGGGGATATTTAATTTTGAGTTCAAAAGTGGTGTAACAGCAATGAACGGCAGGGAGGATCGACTGAACGGGTATACAACTCTGTGTGGTGAGGATTATTCGCCTTCACATGCTAGTTAGGCCACGCGTTCTTTTCTGTGCAAGATGAAATCCTACCCACTTGCCCCTTCCTTCGATCAGGGGTTCCTGCCTCTGTTCAGAGATGTACAAATCCCGCCTCACCCTTTATTAGATCTGCTGCCTTCAGCTCTTCTGCTGCCATTTCTTTTCTCGCCAGCCATCCTTTGATTCTCATTCCCTTTTTTGAATGGACAGGGGTTGACTCCGAATGTCCCTGGGGCCTGACAGGGCTGCAGTTGTGGGCAGCACAAAGTCATCCCTGAAATAGGAGCGGGACAGCGGGATGTCTCACAGAGCAACAGCCAATCAAATATCCCTGTTGAGGATGGTCTGAGAGGAAGTGATTTGCCGGATTTTTCCCCCCTGGTGATATAGTCCCTTGAATTTCCCGAACTGGCACTGCCTACGAGCAACTTCTGCTGACATCGGGGTCCCTTCCGCTCCTCTCCCTGGGCTGTCTTGTCCTCTCCCCTCAGACACAGAGAAAGCCCGCTGAGAGGAACGCGGAGATTACCTTCCTACGGGCTCTGAGGTTTGCAGAGTTGCTCACGCCCCTGTTTCCGAGTGCCCGGGTGCTCACCTGTTGCTTGCCTCACCACACGAAGGGGAAAAATCAAAATGCAAATCCTCCGC